CTGCGTTGGCGTGAGTTCCTCTTCACGTCGCGTTAATCCATCGTGTATGCTGTACGCGAGGCTGGTTACTTTCTGCGTTATCACCATAAGTGGTCCTGGAATGAACACGATGTAACGAGATCTTTATTTAGAAAAATAATTTTATTATAAGCTTATGCCTTTGTTTTTGTGCCGTACAATAATACAGCATTTTTATACAGTATTAAGTTTTTTTTTTTTTTTTTTATAAAGCATCAGTTAACGTATATAGAAAAAGTATCTAATTTATTTAATTATTTAACAGAATCATTAATCGAAAATGAAAATTTATAGGATTTATGTGTAAGTATCCGATTTGAATAGATTAGAAAAAATCATGATATATTTTTCAGTTAATAACGTTTTTTAACATTTCATTTATTCTAATATAATTACATTATTATATTTTATAGGAATATCAACATGATTCTTACTTAAAGACAATGATTGTTTATTCCGCGTGTGAATTTTTTCCTTATATTATATGGAGATAAATTGAGAGTTATTTAAATGCTAAAAGAATCGCAAATAAAGTTAAAAGACATTGGAATATATCATTTTCAAATTATTAAGAACTGTCAAGAGAAGAAATTAATTTAAATGAAATATGAACCAGAGATTGAACAAGATCAAATAATAAATATATTGTAAACAATTTTAGTTTAGTGACATCCTTTTTAAAGCCCGTTTCATATTCAATTATACGTTGAGAATATTTGATATTTGAAACGATAAAAAAAAAAAAATAATATATAAATACTATAAGATCTCGTATGATGAAATCGCGTATTGATTTTAAAAATGACACGAGTCGACGACTTACCAGTGATATCAAGAGTGTATGAGCCATAATTATAGATTTGTCGATGGAAGTGCACACAAGATAGATAAAGAAGCGCCGTTGTCAACACTACCCTGAAACGTATTATTAAGATAAATTGTTAAGTTCAAGGAATATTTATTAATAATTATTATTAATATTATATTTATTAATATAAATTATAATTTATATGAAAATAAATGTGAAAAGGATTCAACATTTAACATCACCTATTGATGTTTAATAGTAAATAATGAAATTTTCAAACCAGTGTTTCTTTAGTTTACTTATTGTGTAAAATAAGAGAGTAAGAGAAGAGAGAAAAAATTACATGAAATTCTGTAATAACTACTTATTAACCAATAAAATTATAATTAAATCCATTTAATCCTAATTTATTTTAATTATGGAGTGTAATTACTTATTAAAATAAAATTTATATAAATAATAATAATAATAAGTTAGATACTCCCAGAATTGTGAAACATTCTTATGCAATTCCAATTCATAATTTTAAAATGTGATTAAATATAGGAAAATCTATTAATATATTTAATATTATCTTTGAAATCTTATAGAATAACTTGTTGAATGTCCAATTTTATAAATTATGAAATTATAAAAAGAAAAAAAAGAAACAAATTTGTAAATTAAATATAAATTATAAACGATAATATAAATTGTAAATATATAAATTTTTATATATTTTTAATAATATATGTGCGTATATGTTTTAAATTGTTAAAAACATAAAGATGTAATTTTATCATATTTGTTTTATATTAATTATTAATCTTATTATTTCATTGTATAAAGTAGTATTTTTCAATGAAAGAATAAAAAAATATTATTATTGTTATCTCAAGAAAGAAATATAATATATACATATATATTTACATGTACTGGATTGATAATATGAAAAGCGAGACGCAGTGATAAAATATAAGTCTTGTCAAGCGAGTATTTACAATAATTATACTTTTATTATTTTAATAATTAATTATGCGATTCGTCTATGTTTATTTATAAAGTTTCGGCGATATAAATAATTATATATATAATTAAATAATTAATTATAATATAATTTACATATCTATTATATTAATGAATTCTTTTTATTAAGACTATTGTAATCTAACTATAAAAAATTTCTGTAGCATGTGAAATCTATAACTAACATAAAAAATAAATCATAATGAATAAATTGTTATTAAAACTTGCCTCTGCATATTGTGTGGATTTTGTGTACGCATTACAATGTAACATATGGCGGGAAGGCCTGCAAGATGTATCGCCTGCCTGAAAATGAATTTTTTTTAACAAAACAAATTTATTATAAATTATACATTATTTATTATAAATTAAGTTAATGCAGAAAGAAATATTTGAAATCTTACAAATACTTTTTTCTCATTTTAATTCTTTATATTGGTAAAAGTAATTGATTTTACTATACAGAATATCCAATTTTAATTAATGCAATAAATATTATTTATTCAATATAAAATCTTTCTCTCTTTACCATTTTTTCTTTAAATTACTGTTATTAACATTATAAATGAACTTTTGCAATTCTTGCTGAATAATACTATACATATAAATCAGATATATTTTTTCAAAATATATGCTTCTATAGTTAAATATTATATAAATTAATATACAGTTACAATGTCATATTTAAATAAAAAAAAATTAAATGAAAACAGTTAATAATATTTTAAATTTTTATCCATTTTTTTTATAATAATAGTCTTTTGTTTTTAAACAATAGAATTTCAATAATTGATAAAATTTTGATTATTTTTAATAATTGTCTGAGATTTCTTATTGTAAATTTAATATACAATTATTTAGCATATAGCTGTAGTATATGCAACAAAAATGTTATGTTATTTGTGAATATTTTTTTTCTTAAAAATAAAATATTTAATGCAACAATAAATCGTGAATATTCTGTGCATAAGATGAGCGTAAAACAATGTTTTTGCATCAAATCCATACTTATTAAAGCTTCTTTTGAAGAAGCTAATTGATCCATTTTTATTCACGTAGGATTGTTTACCTGCCGAAGCAAAAATATCCAAGCATGAGACCGATGATGAGACCAAATACATGTCTGGTTGTTGCTGTTACAGCAACAGGGCTAAGAAACGTTCTTAAAATTCCAGCCAATATCAGTGCTGTGATTTGAGATAGTAGAAAATTCACCTGCACACAAAATATACAGAGAAAATATATTCATTACCATAATTGATTAATGTAAGAATGAATTTGATCGATATTGTAACATAATGAAAAATATCAGATTATAAAATATCAAATTTTTATATATTTTTCAAATCGATTTTATTTTTTAATCCATTAATACACACATTGAGAACTTTAATATAGATTTTAATTGAATTTTTCTTACTTTTCAGATTATTCTAATTTTAATTACAAATTTTGTCAATTCAATAATAAGTTAGATTTAAGAAAAGTTTATTATATAATAATTATTTTTCCACGGAATCGATGATTGAAAAAGCACGTAGCATTATTTCTCTCGTGGCACGAACGTGCAATTCAATAACTTATAAAAATTTACATTTCAAATATAAAATATTAATTAAGATGTACATTTCTGAGATTTTTTAATAATTACTTTAAAATTCAATTTCATAAAACATCGTTCTATCATTATAATTTGAAAAAAAAGACATTATATGAATATCACATTTTTATTCAACGGATTTACATATTCGTGTCTCTAGCATAATAGGAAAAATATTTAAATTTTTATTATACAAATCGTTCATTTTAGAAATTTGTAAAAAAAATAAAATAATCAATATTAAAAAATGATTAATAATCAATGATTAAAAATGAATTAATAAACCAATTGATAGGCAAAAATATATATATTTCTTATCTTGTCGTTTCCTTAATTAGATTTCGCGGGGAAGAACTAAATTAATCTCTTGCTGATGACAAATATTATGCTCAGTTTATGACTATCTATTATCACGATATCGTGAACAATTTTTTTACACGTATAGATTAAAGACTGTAATCGGGGAATATGGAAATTCTAAGTAACCATATTCTCCATGGGCTTCCCCAGTTCTCGAAGAACAACAGAATGCGTATTGTATGAAGTGTGAAGGCCGTGTATGAAAGAAAACACGCTAGCTTATATCATCTCTATTGTTTCTTGATGCCTATAATGTTTCGTATCCATAAACTAAACCATGTTTAAAAAACAAAAAAAAAAAAAAAGAAAGAAATATCATAAATTGCATTGATAGAACGTTTTAAAGAAGTAAAAAAAAACTATGTAATACATATGCTACCACGACCAGATATTGCTGTTTTGAGAAAAGGAAAGGGAAGAGTTTTATTTCAATTTTTTAAACAGATGAAATTCAATGAAATGTGTTAAAAATTATTACAAATGATTGAAAAATATCTGTTCTTTATGTAGAGAACAGAAAGAATTTTCATTAGTATTCGTTCACTTAAGAATCATTAATTGATATCATTTGTAAATAAATGAAGTATTATAAACATCTCTAAATAGATAAACTATTTCTTAAAACTATTTTATTATATTCTTAAAACTTGAATTTTAAAGCAAATAAAAAATATTAAAATTAAAATATTAGAGGAGATTGAAAAAAATTTTTATAAATAAATATTAGTATACAAATATATGTCATAAATATGTGGTTAAAATTGCATAAAAAAAAATTATTATAATATAAATATCTCCAAATAAATTGATTATCAATTTATATTATTAATTTATAGAAATATCGGATATAATATTAATGCATTAAATATTAAAAATTTTATAAATGAAAAAAATCTTTTTATTATATTTGATTGCAATTAAACAATATCAAAAAATATAAATTGTAAAATCATTAGTATAATTTTCAAACAACGATAAATGTTAGATAAATTAGAAATTGCGATAAATGTTAAACATAAGAAAAATAAAAATTGAATACATAGTTTCACACATAAGTTCGTATGATTGACCTGTAATGACCCGCGCAGAGGAGTTCCCCGAGCGTGCTTGCAGATATGCAAGAGACAAAGATAGAACTGGATAAGAAACTGACGGTAATTCCCCGTTCAAACTATTGCAAAGAAAACAGGGAAAAAGATGTCAGCGTGAAATCCGTATATAAATCGAAGCTTTTGCCGAATGTGGCATAGAAATCGATCAGCTCTCCAGACAAGAGCATTACAAATCTTGTGCTTAAGAACAAAAAAAAAAAAGAACAATTTCCAAGATGAAATTCATCGTGTTGGTTCTCTTCTGCGCTATTGCATACGTTTCTGCTCAAGCTGAATTGGAACCCGAGGATACAATGGATTATGTGAGTATACATTATTTCATTTTGTTGAATTAATTTTGAAATTTTTATGCAAAACGTAGCATTTTAAATTTAATAATGAAAATGGTGGAGCAATTGGTAAGAGAGAATAAGGATTAAAGAAAAAAAAAAAGATTCTTCAATTTGATAAAAGAATAACAATTTTTTGACTAAAGAAATATATATCTTACATAAGAAATAATTGTTGGCAACGAAAATTACTTATAAAAATTTATAAATATATTACACCATTTTAAAATCTTCTAATTTGAAATATAAGATGTTTACACTTGCATTATTATAAACTATTGATCATACAAATAATTTTTTAAAATATTTTAAAGAAAATATATATTATCAAGTCTACTTTTATATTTTTCTCATAAAAAATATTATTATAAATAGATGAAAAATCATTTAACAATCTTAAAATTTTCATAGTAGCAAACATTCCTTAAATCTTATTACTTTCAACTACTTTCAACTTTCAACTTTTTCTTCCTACCAATTCTAAATGATCCTCAACACACCGTGCATCTTCATTTTATTCATTAAAATTTTCCTTTTTTTTTCCAGGTCCCGTCTCGTTTCCGACGACAGAATGATCCTCACAGAGGAACCATCACCGTTCAGGGAACTCAAGTGGGAAAAAATCGTCCATCCTTGGACATTGACTACAAACATCGTATCTACGATAAGAATGGAATGACAGGAAACGCCTATGGTGGAGTAAATATTCGTCCTGGAGAGCCTAGTCGACAACATGCTGGATTCGATTTCGGGAAAGAATATAAGAATGGTTTCATCAGAGGACAAGGTGAAGTTCAACGTGGCCCTGGTGGCAGACTTTCACCATTCGTTGGAGTAAAGGGTGGATTTAGATTTTAAGATATAAAATACGATAAATTGACGATAAATTAGATTTCGTACTATTTAATAATTATTTATTCCAGTAATGCATTTATCTCATTTTTGATCTTCGTGTCTTATAAAAAAAATTGGTATTGATTGGTATGATATTGATTCAATATTGGCAGATTGTAATTCAATTGTATTAATTATAATATAAGAGATTCGAATAAACATTATTTTATCGTTATAAACTGTGTGGCTTTTTTTCTATCGAGGATAAATGAACTCATTGACGAGTGCGAATGAACTTTTGGCGTGCAGTAGAACTGAGTGCAAATAATAAGCGTTTCGAATGGAGCTAAACCTTTTGATAGCATGTAATGAGGTTATACTTACTCGAATATGCGTATAATACGTAACGATAGATATTGTGTGATAATAAAGTAGCATTGTTTGCTTATTTTGTTATTGTTGAGTGACAATTTTAGAACATTTTATACGAAATATCATTACAAAAATTATACATTTTATGATCTAAGTTAACGAAGTGAAAGATATTACTTATAGAATATGTGAAAATATATACAATGTGTATAATGTATATATAGATATATTTTATGAGTATAAATAAAAGATAATTACAAAAAAAATAACGACATAAATTTTTATGAAGAGAACGAAGAACGATAAAGAATATTTGTATTATTTTATCTTCATTCATTTTCTTACATTCAAATTTCTAGTCGATAAATGAGTAGCCAAAAATAAATTCAATATCGATGTATGCGTTTTAATTTTATGATGCGAATCGAAAAGCGAATAAATTTATTAATTAAAATCACACATATAGAAGAATAATGAAAAATATCGCGACGAAATTATATAAAAATTAAATTTGTAAAATTCACAGATCGATTAATTTATAGAAATTTTAAAATAACTTTCTCGAACGCACGATATTTTTAATAAGTACAATTCACAAGAATTATACACATGTAATGAAATAGTCAAGAATAATAGAATAATTTTTAGATTCTAAAAATGTATTTATTTTGTTTAAATTTAACGATTGTTAAAGATACATCGAAATCGTTATTTTTTTCTTAAATAAACATATTAAGCACAAATAGAATTAATTGATTAGGGAACATTAAAAAAACAATTTTTTTTTCTCATATATATTTTTATTTGTAAAAAGTATTTGTAAAAATGTAATATATTATTATTTTATTATATAACATAATTTCTAAAATATTTATGATAATATTAGATACTTTTTTGTCATCTGTACATTGTGATTTTAGCAATCATGATTTGAGAGACAATATTATTTTTTACATTTTCTTATTGTAAAAGTTGCAACTTGACAAGATATAACTTAACTTTTTCACAATTGCATATCAAATGGAATCAATTGATTTAATGATTTTCCATAGAAAAATTTGGTTCTCACAATGAATTAAAAGCTACTTTTTTAGATAGCTAAGTTAAAACGATTTTGAAAAAGTATAATATTCTGAGCAGATGAAACTCTTTATACATATATAAGTAACGTATAAAATTTTATAAATGATAAAATATCATTGACGTATCAAATAAATTTAATCCATCTCGATCATTATTCTAGAAAAATGAAATCATAAAGATTTTAGAAAAAATAAATAAGCAATACATAAAGTATAAGCAATTTAAAAGAAAAAGAAAAAGAATTTTCGTATTATGAACTTGTATATCTGGATTTTAACACTCAATATCTAATAAAACTTAAAATAGTTTATCTAAACAATTTATCTATTTGCTGTGTCAATATTTTATTAACACATTAATTTATTAATACATTTGAAAACATAAAAGACAAAAGAAGAGAAATACAAAGAAGTGTTTAATTAATAATTAAAAATACACGTTCTAAAAACAAATTATTATAAAATATTGCTGTAAAACGCTTGAAATCCATCAGCTTGTAAGAGAATAATAAACTGGGTCTCTGATGTACCTCTGAGCTACGAAGAAAAAAAATTTTCCAAGCCAATAATTTATATATAAACCTGCTATCATAGTGCTCGCCGTAGCAAAGAGTACCATAACAAAAAGGATTTGACCTACACGATCCCTATAAATTGTCACATAGTATCGTAACTACGTAAACGCCATTTTGTATTCGGGCATCGTTTGATATGAATCGTTCGATGTAGAATGACCAATTGAGAGCATTAATACACACGTGACTGTATTTCATCGCGTCATTGCGATAAACTCTGCAACGTATAATTGAAATTCACGATATGTATACATATTTAACACGATATGCTAACATATTTTACCTTCGAAGAATAGATTCTACGGATCTCAAAGCAGAAGTATATATATATATATATATAATAAAAAAAAAAATGTTTATTGGCATTTCTTTATTATAAGTTATAAGTTCGAATTGAAGTTCACGTTAGATGAAAAAAAAAAAAAGAACGAGACCATTCTGTTCTACATCGCTATTGTATTCTATTTTTGCCTCATTTCATCCAATGCTATTACTTCAATTGCTTAATAAATAACCAACAATTATATCAATTTTTATATTTATTTAATCTATACTCGATTCTGCAAAATTCCCACAAATATATTAATATCCTGTATATATTTAACCACTTATCTTAATGTTGTTTAAAAATAATTTAATTTAATTAAGTTTAATAATGGTAATTAATAATTCAAGATTGATAAATCTTGAATAATCAGTGCAATTAAAAATTGCTATTTATAATATTTTATGATAATATATATATATATATATTGATACATAATGTATATGTATATGTACATTAATTACTTATCGTGTCATTTCAATAAAAATTATCCAATTGAATAGTTAACTTGGTGATAAAACGCGAATGAATGGAAATTATAATGAAATATTGTATATAATCTCGATAATTAAAATTTTAAGAAAAAAAATCTTCCGATTCTTATTTTGATCGTTTAATGAACGATGAAAATTTAAAGAGTAAAGAGATATTGTGCAGAAATTAATATATCTTCAATTGTAAAAGCTCAAAGAAAAAAAAATATTCCGATATCCAATACAAAATATGTTTTCTCATTCAAAAATAATTTTTCAGTAATTTTTATTTTTTCGCATTCGTATATTTATTCTTTTATATAAAATATTGTATTATCACAAAAAATTTCATGAATCCAGAAATATCTTTCTGGAACTTATTCATTAAACAACATTTATTCGTTTTTTTATATATAATTTTATTTATATTATTCAAAATTTATTTTGCACGATTAAAATACGTATTAAAATATTCGCAACAAAAATCACGACGATATTTAATTTTAAATTTCAATTAAAAAAATTCATTAAAAACAACAATAAGAGTATTAATGAATTGTCTTATAAAATTATAGAAATTTATTCGTTTTTTTTTTTTTTTTTTTTTACGAGAACAAAAAATAAAGCATGAACGTAATTAATGATTGTGCATTAACACATAAAAAGTTTCTTCGATATCACGAACAATTTTATTACCACATTTATCGCGATAAAAGCAAAATATCGAATAAAGTCCGACTTTTGCTCAACTTTAAGACTATAGATTAGAAATGATTCGTAATCGTTACGTGAATTATTATCTTGTAAACTCTCTATTTCCTTATCTTTATTGACATTTGATTTTTTCCTAATTTGTCTTCCGTTTTTCTTCGTATCAAAGATTGTTCAATCATTGTAAAATCCCAATTTCCGTCAAAAAAATATTTTGTTCCCTTTATTAATTCCTTTTTAATTTATTAATTTAATATTTGATTGATTATGTTTTATATTGTCCTTATATACATGAAAAATTATAAATAAATTTGCACTTTGAAAGAGTTTAATATTAAAGATATTTTTCTAACAGCTATGTAAAAAGAGATTCAAAAATGTATAATATTTATATATTAGAAACTCAATCAAATATTAATATTTATAGAAAATTTGAATATTTATTATCAAATCATATGATTTATAAATATTTAATATAATTCATATAATTTAAATAAATATAATCCTATGTATTTTCTATATACATCTAGATAAAATACAATTTGTAAAAAATGAAAAAACCAAAAATAATATCACTTATAGAACAAATTATACAATAAATTGTAAAATTAAAAAATGACATATCAAGTTTTGTCATTTTTACCAATACAAAAACGTAAATATAAAATATATAAATACAACTTTATTAATAAATATAACCAAACATAACAATAAAATACAATTCTTGTTTATATAACAAGAAAAATCGTGAAATCGTATAAATAGTCTTATCCATCTTCAATTGTCCTAATTATTCCTAACGGATCCTTGAGCCACCTCTTTAAATCAAAGCGAACCAGCTTATATGCTTCCTCTAAATTCGTGATACTTGGCCATTTCTCAATCGTCTCTTACCAGGAAGAAGGATATCATTTCTCATTTTGTTTTTCTCATTACATTCCTATGGTTTATATACCAGCAGGAAGCCGGTTCAACAAAACTAGTGACGAATAAGATTTGTCCGACAAAATGCGATAACGAGATCAACCGAGAGATTACACTACATGATTGATTTTATGATCGCGTGCAAAGTATCTTTGTTAAACTTTCACGATTAATCAATTATACAGCATATTAAATAATTAGTTGATCTTTGGTTGATCAATATCTTTAATATTTTCTTTAACGATAAAAAAAAATCAATAATGAATCTTTATTTATATAAATAGGTCTTTATTTTATATCTACCAATTAATTACATTAATGTTAAGAATATATTTTTTCAAGTAATTTGAATTTTGATTTTTTGATGATAAGATATCGTTATCTCATCCATTTCTAAAATATTCTATTTTTTTTTTTTATTAAAATAATTTATATTGTTACTTATATTACAATTTATATTGTAACATTCAAAATATTGAAAATTTAATGAATACAACTATTTACTTAATTGAGGTATTCATGATATTCATCAATGATAAAAATTAATTTCAATGAAAAGATTGATTGATATATTAAACATTTTTTTTGTTTCTTTTAAACTCTTAAAATTCTTTTTTTTTTTTTTTTTTTGATC